AACCACGATCGACTACGTGGGAGTCCAGCGACATAGCCATTACGCTAACTGCTGGTCCCTTAATTTTTTTTATCCCTGCACCTTCCTCATTATGAGACAGAGATATGAGACATGGATGAGTGGATAACATGGGACAAAGTGAGAAAGTGAAGATGCCAGGAAAATCCATTCTTTCTCCCTACTCCCTCCGGTGCTGTAAAGAATAGATGGTGTCATTAAGGGTCAACTGAGAATTAAGCTTTCAACAGATCAGGTCTGATGTGATCTTGAAGAAAGGTACTGAGTGGGCTCAAAGAGGGCTATTCTTTCCAGTTGGTACCGGGGCATTTACTTCAAGGAACAGGCAGTAGATGCACAAAGCCTTGTGAGCATGTACTTACTTCTTCTCCTCTCCCTTCATTCCCCCACCTGTGATGCCCAAGATTTTTCCTGCAAAAAGAGACTAATGAAAAAGAAGACAACACAGATGAATCCACCTTCTGAAAGCACATCTCTACTGTCTTGCTCCAGATGTGTCAAGCACTACCACAAGGCACAAGCCCATGGAAAGCAAAGATAGAGAGGAAAGGGAACAGTTACCCCATACTGTGTTGAAGGCAAAGTTCAATTCACATATTCAGCAAATAGTTAGAGTGCCTAATAGGACAAGTACTATTCTGAGCACTTAGTTCAAACCTATAGTGTGCCTAGCACCAGATTTCATTCCCATGGCCCTGGGTTTTGATAGGATATTTGTCTTGAATTAGACTTTGCTATTTACTTAGAAGCTACTTCCAGGAAGGGGTTTCTGAAGGCTGAAGGCTTGTCCTATACTGGCCATTATTTAGTTTCCCAAATAATGGGAACCTTTGAGAAATCATCTCCCAGAGATCTTTTGACATGAAAATCATTCAAGTCAGGAGTCCAAGGGCTGCTCCCAAACATCACACCACAGCCCCAGTGCCTGCAAAGTGACTAATGGACAAAAGTGGTAGAGAGATCGTATCCTGAATTCCTAGCTCTTCATCTTTTTTTCTTTCATTGTACATGGCATGCATTCACCAGAGAGAGATAGAGAAGGATGGAGAGAGATGGAGAAAGCACCTCCTCAGTGAGGTGTGGTCATATTGCAATTGCTTCTTCTCTATTTCTCCATCCCATCAAGATATTGGGCACACATGAATATGTGCCCAGTGTGGTTTTTCAAGCCTCCAGGCCCAGGATTGAAACTGCTGTCAGCCAGGTGGGATCTGGCTGCCTTAACCACAAGAATATGGCATCAGCCCCCTAGGTGTTGACCTATAAAACTTCACCAGTTTTTAGAGTCTCTTAATGTTCATTACATAGACAAATCTCTTCTGTATGGTGGTTTTGTTGGCTTTTGAACAGTGAACAGCTAGGAATCCAATAATAGGCTTGATCTGTGACCTCAGGGCAGCACAAAGCTACTTCAAGTCAGATGAATTTACTTAAGGTGAGCCTCCCAAATGCAGACTCAGAGGGGCAGAGCACCAGTTAGTCCAGTGTCTCTCAGAGAGCTCACCAGAATGCCAGGTGATATAGCTGCCCTCAGCCTCCCCACATGAAGGCTGCTGATGGGCATAAAGTGCAGCATGGCCAATAATATGGCAGTGCAAATCTCTCCCTAGTTCTGCACTGTGACTTGTGAAAGAAGTTTATTAGTTTTTTAAGTGTTTTCCATGTCAGGAAAGATAAAACATACTGACTTTATCAGCATGGATGAAATAGGAAGCCTACAGATAGGGGGAAAGAAAGCTTAAGTGTACTCTGTACTGCAATGAAGAAAATAAAGCCAAATACAGTAAAAAGCTGCCAAGTGAAATTCAAACCCTCTATTTTTTGAACTAATCTCTGCTGGGAAAAAAAATGGTTTAACAAGAATTAAAATAAATTCTGTGTAAAAAGAACTGCTGATAAAGACTGGGTTTTAATTGTTTTCATTCAAGTCCTGGAAATATCAATGGAACTCATTCATTCATTCTGGGCCCATATAGCCAGGTCAGAATTCTAAACAACAAAGCCCAAACGTTGGAGTAACTTGACATACTCATGAAATGAGGTCCACCTTTATTTCATTCCAAAGCCAAGAGGTTTGCCATTTTTGTTCTAGAAGAAATGGAGAGTGAATCTAGATCTGGACTTTTCAACAGAGTTTTCTGCAGTGATAGCAAGTGTTCTACATTTGCACTGTCCATATAGTAACCATGGACACTTGTAGCCATTGAGCACTTGAAATCTGACTACTAGGACTGACAAATAGCATTTTACATTTCAGTTTTAATTCATTAAAATTTAGGCCCAACAGCAGTAGGGTGCACTGCTATGACACTGTACTTTATAAACTAGGATTACATGGGAAGTCTGGTTTGATTTCTAGTCTAACCTAAATGTCAGGCACAATACATGCAACTCAAGAGACTAAGGCAACAAGATCACGGGCTCAAGGCTGACCTAGGCAACAAAGTTAAGACCATCTTTTTTTAAAAAAAAATAAAATATTTTTTGAGAGGTTTTCGCCATAGGGCGCGTGCGTTCGCCAGACAGACAGAGAGACAGAAAGCGAGAAATCACCCCCCAGGGGAGATGGCCATGCCACAATCCCTTCTCCTCCATTCTCCTCTCGGGATCTTGGGCACGCACGCACACGCGCCCGGAGTGAGTTTTAAGCCACCGGGTCTGGGGCGCGAACCGCGGTCGACTACATGGGAGTCCACCGACATAGCCATTATGCTAACTGCTGGTCCCCCCAAAAAAATTTTTTTAAGAGCTGGGTGGGGTGGTATATACTTGTAGTCCAAGCTGGGAGGCTGAGGCAGGGGGATATCAACATGACAAGATTCGGTCTTAAATTTTTTTTTAATATATTCTAAATTAGCTACATGTGGTTATTGGCTACCAAAGTGTATACTATAGATTTTAGAAAACACTGATTCCAGCTTTTTCTCTAGCATCACTTTTTTCTCTACTAAAAAAGTGATAATTGGGGCCAGCAGGTGGCATGGTGGTTGAGGCTGGACACCTGCAGGAATTTCCTTAAAGTGGATTCAGTCTGTGCTATCTCTATCCCTGCAGGGCATGGGAAAGCTCTAAACAAAGATATAATCTACTGCTGGGCTTTACAGATAGAAGAAACCAGAGCACTAGCCAGAGAAGGCCAGGAGAGGCTTATTTAGAACCAGCAGTTGCTCCAGAGCTGAAGCACATGGCTTTATTTCCCCTATAAAAGAAAGAGCACAGACCAGCTTGGGGCCATTGCATTCTCCAGTAGAGGGGGAGGGTCCTGTCATTATTTGTCCTTTCTCAAGCCACAGCCCTTCCCCTCAGGGCGCCCTATCTTTTCACCCTCAGGCAGGGGGCGGACTGGGTCTGAGGCCCAGGCCTGGTGGCTTG